AAATGAGGACCTAATGTCGGGGGTTTAAGTGGAGAGAAAATGTTTTGAGAATGATGTACAAATACGCTTTACACAATTGATGTGTGTATGGACTGCGATAACAGTTGTATGAGCCCCTAATAAAATGTTTAAAAAAGAAAAAAAACAAAACAACAAAAAACACCATTTTCTTTTTTAAAATTTTTCTTTAAGCAAATATATTCTACAGAGAATTTAAAATAAATCAATTCTATTTAAAGATACTTGGTAGGAATGAAATAAAATATACCTTCACTAAATAAAATGACTACTAAAACATAATGCACATGACAACAGCTGTTCAGATGCCTTTGAACCTTCATGTCATTCTGTACTTCTTTAAGGAATTAGCAAATTCTGCCTTTTATTTTGGTTATTGCTGTCAGTACAGGTCTTATATTCCATCACTAGTTTAAATTCTCTTAGAGGGAGGCCTTGCTTTCATTCATCTTTGAGCACACATGCCTTGCAAGGCACCTGCTCATTAACTATTTAATGATTTGGCATTTATTGGACCAAGAAGCAATGAAAGATTCTCAGATATGACTCAGCAGATAGTTTTAATCCACCAACAATTTTCACTTATCCTTGCCAAAGCTACTTTAAAAGAAAGTTACCTACTTGAATAGTTGCCCTTCCCATTAGAAATGGCAATTTGGGAATACACAGTGTAGTACATAAAATTGTATGCCCTGCACCTTGCAAAGTGCTTCCCACCTTTAGTACATTTCAATAAATAACTTTTTTTTAAATGTGAGTTTCTATTTTCAGGCAAGACAGGAATAGCAAAAACACAGTGTTCAAGTGGCCAATAACTTCTTTTAGCCATACCTTTAACAACCACAGTAAAAAATTCATCAAGTATTCCTAGAGAAGAATTTGTTTACCTAAGATGATTTTCGGTAAGTCACAACCCGAGGGAGATAAGATTTTTACTCTACCTCATTTAACATTCCAAAGAAATTATAGGGCCTCTTAGGTCCTGGATTGAGGGTGGCATCCACAGAGATGAAAGAATAGTTGCCAAAGGGAGTACTGTGGACATAATGGAAAGAGCCATCCTTATGCACAGCAGAATATTTTCTAAAAGAAAAAAAAAGGCAGTGAAGTTTAGTAAAATCATAAAAAGACAGAATAAAGGAAAGGCAAACGTGGGACAGAACTCAGAACTCGTACAAAGTCCAGAGTGGTTGAGATTAAAGTATTCCCTGAGACTATCATCCTAAAATGCACTTTAAACCTTCAATGAGAATTATCCCTTGAGGTCACCTTTTAGTGAAATAACACACTGGTGCATAAAATAAAACATATCACCCACAAGTAATGAGCTCTTTTTAAAAATCATCTAATAGAGACCAGATAGTCAAAAATTACTCTTAAAACATTGACAAGAAGGTCAGGGAACAGGAAAACTAGAGTATGAGCAATGGTACAACCAGAACAGAATACTGAGAATGATGACTGATGCCTTATGGAAAATGTAACCAATTTCACTGAATAGTCTGTGTAGAAACTGGTCAGTGGGGTGTGCTGGACACATAGATGTGTGTATGGATTGTGATAAGAGCTGTAAGAGTCCCCCATAAAATTATTTTAAAAAAAGAAATTGGTCGATGGGAACCCAATTTACTGTAAAGGCTTTTCACCTTAAACACCATAAAATGTTATGTTTTGAAAAAGACTAAATGAATTCCAATGCTTACCCTAATATCACATTAGATTTGACCTAATTTTTAGAGAAAAAAAATATCGGTCTATAAGAGTTATATGATGTTTTACCAAGAGGATATTAAAAAAAAATTTTTTTTCAAGAAACTCGATGTACCATGAGGAAACCATATTTAAGCCACCCCAAACCAAACCCATCGCCACTGAGTCAAATTCCAACTCTCAGAGATCCTGTAGGGCCAAGGACAACTGCGCCCATACGGTATCTAAAGCTGTCATCTTTTTTTTTTTAATCATTTTATTAGTAAAGCTGTCATCTTTAGGGGTGCAGAATGCCATATCTTTTGTCCATGGAGCAAATGGTAAATTCATTCGCAGGCACCTGCTTCATTACTGTGCCACCAAAGTTCCTTTATTTAAGTCACAATAGTCATCAAGTATATTAATATCAAAGTAAATATATTATCATAGACATT